TTTTCTGGATCCGCGATGTGTTTTTGACTCCCATCCAAAATTTGGGTCAGTGTAGAGAGGAAGCTGGATAGGGGGAGTCTCGGGATCTCATGTCAAATTGCTCCACATGCTTATAAGAGTCTTTACTCTTGGGATAACCTCAGCTGTGATGGAATTTAGACTTTAATTCCTTCAGTGCTGACAGATGTGCCAGCTAGTACACTGAAGACACGATCTTGGTAGCAGACCTAGTGGAAAACTAGTACAACAGAATGGGCATTCGTTCCATTAAACCTTCTACTTAGACTATGCATGGTCCAGCAGGAGTTAAAGTTTTGGTGTCATACATAGAAAAAGTGCCCTTTCATGCATACAGTGATCATTTGAGATCATCATTGGCTTCATAATTAACTTTCCTTAGGGACCATTTTTCATGATATCTTAGTGTTTTCAAAAGGCCTCTGCACTTAGACAGGGGAGTTGGAAGTCAGACATGGTGATCAGAATTAAATGCGGAAGACAGCAAGGGTGTGTGTGTGTGTGTGTGTGTGTGAGAGAGAACAACGTTTTTATTGTAACAACATTGTGGAGATCATAGCTGATGTGCACAGAGGCATTTTGGGAAAGGAGCATTCCACCAGCATTGCCCTGTTTTCATTGCTAGTGGGATTAGTGAGATGATTGGAGCTGGAGGGGAAGAGTGTGATGGGATTTCATAGGGAGTTGGAATTTGGATTGCTGCTGGGAATGAGATTACCTTTGTCTGGTTAGAGAGAGCGTGCTGCCCCCTGTAACACTGATTATAACTGCATTGCTTAGGTTGCTATTGGGCAACGGCAGAGAATTCTAAAAGTCAATAAACTCTTGTCTGCATTTTAGTAGTTTGGCTCAGGCAGAAGGTTGGTTATACCCAAGGAGTGTCATCTGTTAGAGAGAGTACATTTCCAAGCAGTGACATTGCTTGGATTTAGCAGTTCAGGTGGTGGAGAATTTGCCTGTGAGGTTAAGGTTATTGCAGCAATGTTTAAGAGTAGAAACTGCAGATGGTGTGATGTGATGTGTTTTGTGTCTGTCCTTGGACTTTCCTCTGCATTTCTAACTGCTGAATGCATCACATCCATTCTGTAATCCATCCTGCCTCTAGACAGCTGCTACTGTTAAATTGCTTATCAGCTGGGTTCTGGAGCGGGAGGGGCAATTTCCCAGCAAACTACTCCAAGTTGCGTCCTCCCTGCTTTCTTGAGGCTTAGATATGGTGACTAGTACATTGGTCAAGTGGGTGATTCTGGCAGGAATTCAGGATTTGGGAGTTTTACAGTGCTAATCCAATTAAGTCTAGGAGCTTTGTAAGATCATGCCCTAAGCACTAAGGAACAGAGGAAAGTGAACTGCTCTACATCATCATCTGCTTGGTGATCAATGGCTCTACCAGAGCTGCTTAAATACTTTCTTATTGGCAGAAAGAAGGTGCTGTGAAAGAAACTGCCAAGCATGGATGGGTGTATCCAGCTACAGCTTCCCAAGATATCGTAGGAAATAATCTTCCTGGGTGATCCACCCCTATGCAGAGGGGTGGTACAAAGCTTATGCACCATTTTCTTTCCTAGGGCTTAAGTGATGCCTAGATGTTATGCTGGCCCTCTGTCCAAAATCAGGAGACGTGTATCGGAAAGTAAGAGGGACAGGCTGAAGAATGAAGCCTTCCACAGGCAAGGGTACTGGATGACTTTTTCCCAAGACAAGGAATGAGGAAGTCAGGTTGAACTGCAGGAGGTCTTAGCCCTGCTGTTCTGGGGAAAAAGATTCTGGAAAGATTATCTGCTGTCCTTGATCTAAGAGAGCACATCCAGCCAAGCAGATCAGAGTCCCAGTTTCTGGTCCCCTATTGCCTGAGTCACAGGAGAATCAGAATTCAGAAGGCCCCTAAAAGGGTCAGCTTTAACATCCAAGGTGAAAGGTTTAATTGCAAGTTGTAATTAATGGAGTGACCTAGAACTGGAATCTATAATAGTCTGTAGTCCTTTGGAGTGCTGCGTAAATGTCAGTAGTTGTCGTGCCACAACACACGTCCTTCCCGCGGTCACAGACAGCGCCGGGGGCTAGCAGCGGAGAAGGCACTAGTCACAATCCTAAGTGCAAGGCCAGTGTGAGGCTAGAGCTGACTGCAGAACTCGCCTTCCCAAAGGGGACGGGGTAGGAGACGGGGCCAGATACAAACATAGCCCTATCTTTTCCCCTGCCCTGAGCTGAGGGAAGCATGTGAAAAGAGCACCTGATTTACCTTATAAATGTGTGCAGCACGTACTGCCGTGGGCCATGTGCTCCCTGAAGTATGAACTTGAGTTTATCCCAACACCTCTGGGAGTTGCCTTCTGAGATGCTGTTCTTCCTTAATCCTCCTTTATGGTCCTTGCATGCTCTGCCTTAAAGGTGCCATTTTGCGCACTCTTTCCCCCTCTCCCTAGCTTTCCTGCTTAGCACTGGGCCATCAGACTGACCACTGGACAACAGCAAAGCAAGTTGAGATGCAGGAACCAGTGCAGAATTACAAGGCAATTGCTTCTCACTTGAGGAGGCCCATTCTCCACAGTTCAGCTAAGAGGAAAGTTGCCTCTGGCCCATGCAGTGTCTGTACTAGCTGATGGGGATTGTCAAGAAAGAGTAAACTAGCTCCCCTGACACACACTGTGCCCTCGGCTCCCACCCCACTCGTAATAGAATAAAAGCTTTGTTGACGTTCTGAAATGTTTGGATAAATGACCCTTGCTTTTTTTTTCTGAGCGGGAAGATGGGGTAGGTCATTAAATGGCTCCTGTATCCTTTCAACCTCTGCCCCTCTTCTTACTTTGCCTGCAGGTCTGCTCTAGGTGGGATGGGAAGGTTCAGTGCTTTCTGTCCTTTCTGCTTCAGTCTTCTCTTCCTTGTATTGCCAATAGACCCACCACATCCCATCCAAGTCTTCTGGACAGCAGGTGCCCCTCTGTTTTTCTGCAGCCTCTCCTGTGGGCATCTCTGGGGCTGCTTTAACAATGAAAGAGCCCTGGGGATGAAATGCATAGGCATGCAATGGGCACAAGTCTGAAATCTCCGTTTGTTGCAGGCAAGCTGGCCCTTTAAGGGGAGTTGCATCTGCTGGGAGGAAGCTGATTCTGTAAGGCCAGGGATCAGGTGAATAGCTTGAAGATCGCCTGGCCCTCATAAAAAACACCAAGTAGGTAGATAGGTGCCTGCAGGAGACCCTGGGTGTGGAGAAAGAACCCAATTTATATATGATTCTCTGTTGGATGGCCTGCAGTAGATAGGATCCTGCAGAAGACACTGGGTCAAGGGTCAAAGGGCGCGTTCGAAATATTGAACTTGGGTAACTCTGAAGAAATAAAATTTGAGTCCCTGAAGAAAAGGGGGCTGGAATCCTGTGGCTGAAGACTGTTCTTTGGCCGCGCTGGTGAGTTCGCCCACAAGCTCACCCTGTTCTTAGTGTGAGAGTGGGGATTGGAGACCGTGGCTCTGGGGCATCTCCACCCTGGGTGCTCTTTCACTGTTGAAGAGCGAGGGTGCTGCTGCCCCTGGGGGTGGGGAGGGGTGACACAGAGGTGAAGAATCTGCTGCAGAAGAGTGGGCGACCTGGCACACTGCAACGTCCATGTGGGGCTTTAGAAGGAATGGGCCTACTGGCCATTCCTCTTGGGGAAGGGACTAGCCACTGCTGTGCAACTGAAGGGGGTGGGGAGCAACAGAACTTCTCGCTTAAACATTCATTCTACTTGGTCCCTGAAAACCCAGTGGGGAGGAGTCGGCCACCTGGCTGGGCCCCAGAGAGGAAGCTGGAGTTGGAGTGAGGTAGCAGGTGACAGCCCCCTACCTCCCAGGTGGCCTGCTTTGAACGCTAGAGTCTGCTTGGTTGTGTGGGTTGCAGGTGGGCAGCATCTTGGGGAGGGACCAGAAGGGTTTGGATGAGTCAGTTAAGCAGCCTGACTTTGGGAGGTTTCCCTGTCCCTGGTTGGCACTATCCTTTGAAAGAAGCTAGGTATTGACTGTTTCCGTAGAGCATGGCTCTTTGTCTCTGTTCTCTCTGCACTGTCCCTGCTCTGAGCAGCTAACTAGGCCTGACAAGAGAGGAAGGGGGGTGGGTTTAACCTACTTTATTTATGGGTGCTGGAAATTGACATGTATTATTTATGCTGCCGCAAATCTTTTATTTGGGATGAGAAATCCTACCACCGGGCTTCCTGCTTCTAATAATCATTCCTCTAGCTAAATTGTCTCCCAAAGCCCAGGGCTGCTCTTGCCAGGGACCCAGCTGGTGTTACTTGATGACTTTGTGGCATAAAAAGTCTTCCTGATATAGCAAAGCCACCGATGTGCACATCAGTCACCAGTGCTGACAGATGGGCTCTTAAATCAATACAAAGAAAGGCAAGGTATAGGCTGACACAGGTAACAAAGTCAGGCTCAAACACACGGCCTGATTCTGTACCGCCTGGCATCTTGTGTGTCTATAAATCTGTGCAAAACTGGGTGTGAATTGCTACTGTCTTGCCCAGGTATAAATGACAACGCAAGGTGCAAAGCACTAGAGAATTTGACTCAGAGCCTGGAACAAAATACTTTGCGGTTCCTAAATCTGCCTAAGTCATAATGAATCAGTTGCCAGCGCTACCCTTCTGCTACTTTTGTTCATTTGGAAGATAATTCATTCCCTAACGGCTGAGAGATGGCGTCTGACAAACCTCCCCTCTGAAAACTCTGCTCAAGGACGCTGCTCTTTACTGTTTGCTCAGTCAAAAACGTTCTGGGGAGGTTTTTTTCCTTTTATCTGAGGCAGCATAATAAAATACCTTAGATAAACAAATTTATTCTTGGAGGGATGTTTATTAAGTGCTGGCAATCCCCTATGATAAATAATTTCTCTGGGAGAAAAAAAATCAAGAAGAAAGTAGGCCAAGGAAATGATTTTAGTGGAGGAGATAATGCAGGAAGCACAGGACACTGAAGGCTTCTTTTTCATGTTGTCTTTTAAGAAAGCGTCCTGTGTCGTTGGTAAGATGTTACCACAGTGCCATCTACAGGCGAGCTGAAAAGAGTAACACACTCAGCTGAGGATTTGGCTGGCTAGCTCTTCTGAAGAGCCTTGTAGGTGACATGAGAAGCTCACTGCCCGAGGCCCAGCTCTGCAATCCTTTCTCATACCCAGTTGCCTCCTGGATTCCATTGACACCACCTGCATGAGTAAGTACAAAACAAGGGAGCAAGGGATGTAAAATGGGCCCAGAGCTACAGATGCATCAGCCAGCATCAGGATGGTCCTGATTTGTCAACACAGAGTCCAGAAGGCAAACAATGAGACTAATCAATATTATTAGTAGTGTTTCAGCAAAGCCTAGAGGCTTTCACTGATATTGAGACCCCGCTGTGCTAGATGCTGTACAAATATGGCATAAAAAATCCTTATCCCAAAGAGCTTATAGTATCAATGGAGGAGTCACACCAACTGGGAGAAAGGAAGTATTAGTATCTCCATTTTACAGGTAGGGATCTTTGACATAGATTGTGATTTGCCGAAAGTCCCACAAGGAATCTCTGGCAGATGTTCGGAGTCCCAATCCAGTGCCTTATTCACAAGACCATCCTTCTCAATAGTTCAAAATTTCTGCAATACCTCAGTGAAGCGATAACTAGTAAAGCATATGTGTAACTTGAAGATTGTATGCAGGGACCCAGTGTGTTTTGATTGTGCCAGGGGAAGCATTAAGAGATTTTGTTTTAAAAGGATGTTTTAGTAAATGATTGACCCCGGGCAGTCAAAGATCAAGGAAATTACTCGTAATGTGTGTCAGAGCATCCGAGGCCCTTTATGGACGGCTAAGCAAGAAACTTCTTGCTTTACATTTTTAAAAAGCTGGCAGCCCAGTTTGTAGCTGCGGCTGGAGAAAGCACACAAGGTTTGTGTGTTTGCAAGTATGGGGTTCATACAGAAGATGTGACCCCAGATGAGACACACATAGCTTTGAAGCGGAAAGAAAAAGGTTTTGCTTTTCACTTTCAAGTGTGAATCCCTGTGTATTCTGTCTAGGATTTCCAAAGGGGCCCAAACTCCCATTGAAAATCATCCTTAATGCAGGAATGGGTCACCATCTCACAGCATTTAGCATCTTGCAGATTGTTCTATACCATTACCCCACCCTTTGAAGGTTTACGTAGCTTTTGTTAGAGATGCATAAGAGAGAAAATATGCAGGCAGAGATCCAGTAACTGCTACCACTTATAACTATTGTAAAATCACTTACTACTTTGGTGTGTCAGCATGTTAATTGCCATTGATGAACGTGGCTCAAAGGGCAGCTTGGATAAGCACCCAGAAGATTGGGTGCTTAGCAGACTTTAACATGAATCAAACTAACCGCTTTGTTCTGCAAACCTAGGTTGGCAATATTGTGAGATTTCTAGTACTGCCTCTTTAGAATCATAGAATATCAGGGTTGGAAGGGACCTCAGGAGGTCATCTAGTCCAACCCCCAGACAGATTTTTGCCCCAGATCCCTAAATGGCCCCCTCAAAGATTGAACTCACCACACTATAGGGTGACAAGACGTCCCGATTTTATCGGGACTGTCCTGATATTTCCTTCTTTGACACTGGACAAAAAAGCAATTTTGCCCTCCGCTCTGGCGCTCAGGCCCCCCCCCCCCGACTCCGCCCCCTCCCCTGGTCGGGCAGCTACCAGGAGCATGGGAGGGGAAGGGAAAGTTGCCGCGGCTGCCGGGGGCTAGCTGGGCATGGCCCGGGCTGCGTGCAGGCAGCAGCCGGGGCTGGCTCTGGCCCGGGTGGGCAGCGCGGACCGGGGGCGTGGGCCGCCGGAGACACGCGGAGAAGAGGGGCTGCGGGGGCGAGACTTGTCCCAGGCGGGGAGGCCGGCGGACAGGGGCGAGGGGCCAGCCAGGGTCCCCAGAAACTTCCCCGCCGCTGCCAGGGAGCCCCGCGCCTCTCCTGCTTGGCTGCGCTCCAGCGGCTCGCCCCGGGGAGCCCCTCAGGAGACCGGCCGCTGCTGTGGCTCGGCTGTGTCAGCCCCGGCCCCCTGCACGCTCGCGCCGTGCTGCCCCCGGGGTCCCCGGCTCACATGCACCGCCGCTGCCCCGCGGCCAGCCCCGGACTTCTTTGCTTCCCAGCGCTTCTTATCGGTGTCCCCCTCTCCCCCCATGCCCTCTTTATCCCCAGCTCCCTCTGCATCGGGGCCAGCTTTTGCCCTGGGGTGGCCTGCTAATGCCCCCCTGCCCCTGTGAAACCGCCCCCCGCCCCCTCCCGCGTCCCGATATTTCATCCCTGTGATCTGGTCACCCTACCACACTAGGTTTAGCAGGCCAATGCTCAAACCACTGAGCTATCCCTCCCCCCATCTGACTGGCCTGGATGGTTTGGGGAATCTGTATACAATTTACCAAGTCTGGTTGCTGTTATGAAATTGCTGTATCGTAGAATGCCTCAGTTTATAATGAACAGGCACCTTAGAGACTAACCAATTTATTTGAGCATAAGCTTTCATGGGCTACAGCCCACTTCTTCGGATGCATAGAATGGAACATATATTGAGGAGATATATATGCACATACAGAGAGCATGAAAAGGTGGGAGTTGTCTTACCAACTCTGAGAGGCCAATTAAGTAAGAGAATTTTTTTTGAAGTGATAATCAAGCTAGCCCAGTACAGACAGTTTGATAAGAAGTGTGAGAATACTTACAAGGGGAGATCGATTCAATGTTTGTAATGGCTCAGCCATTCCCAGTCCTTATTTAATCCTGAGTTGATTGTAT